TTATTGTGCCACTTATAAATTGACTGAAAAAAAAAAGAAAAATAAATAAATAAATAAATAAATTGACTGAAGTTCAATATTCAATATTAAATCTGAATAAATATTTGTTAACAATTGTGAAAAAAAGAAAAAGAAAAGGAAAAAGAAAATCCCAACCATTAGATTTTACCAATACAACTCCGGAGCCAGATGCTAGGGTGAAAGCTTGCTAGCTCAGAGAGGCAGAGGAAGCACCCAGCTTATCTTCCTACTCTGCTCTCACCTTGACGGAAAAAAACTAAAAATTCAAAAGTCAAAGCCCAAAGCATGCTAGCTCCACTGGGGACTCATGAGGAAAAGGCCTGCTACCTCACTCAACAGCCCAGGAGGAAAAAGCCAAAAGCTAAAAGCCAAAGAGCTCTTTCTTCTTCTCCACGCTGCCATAAAAATACTTCTCTCAAAGTACCTCCTTTCTACTTAATTTCTGTCAGCCGGTTTCTTACTCCACCTCTTGGCCTAGGGTTAAATTTATTAAATCCTATGTACAGAAAGCTCTGGATTAAAGGTGTGTGCTAGGGCTGAGCCACACCATAATCACCTGTTTACAATAAATAAAAGTTCTTGGAGTAAAGGGGTGTGTTAGGACTGAACCACACCAAACCAAGGACAGGTTCTTACACTTCACAATCTCAGGATTCACATGGAGTCAAATATTCTTGAACATATTATAACACTGTATATGATACTGTGTTAGAATTCTCTAGTGGAACACAAGTATTAGACTGAAGTATAAAAATGGATTTATTAGATTGGCTTATGCCACAGGAGCTGGGTATTCCAACAGTGGTCATCAGTGCTGTCTTAGTTAGAGCTTCTACTGCTGTGATAAAAGACCATGATCAAAAACAACTTGGGAGGAAAAGGTTTATTTCAGCTTTCAGTTATATTGCAAAATCCATCACTTAGGAAAGTCACATCAGGGACTCAAAAAGGAGGGTCCTAGAGGCAGAAGCCAGGAGAATGTTACTTATTAGCACGCTCCTATGGTGTGCTTGATGATAGCACCTAGGACCACCAGCTCAGGGTTGAGGGGCATTGACCACAGTGAATTGGGTCTATCCACATCAATCGTCAATCAAGAAAATGCACTACAGGACTGCCCACAGGTGGGGTCTTTCCTCAACTGAGGTTCTTTCTTCCCAAATGACTCTGGCTTCTGTCAAGATGACATAAAATTAACTAGCTCAAGCATGCTGGAGAAGCAGAGAGCATGAGAACTGTTCAGTCCATGAAACTGGGAGGCTCAGTAACCCCAAAACAACACTGGAGGTCTGAAGGATTACTGATGAGTTGATGGCCTTCAGTCTGTGTTGGAAAGCTGAAGAAGCAAGGGCCTGGTAAAGAAACACAGCCACAGAAATAGCAGCACCCACAGAAACAGAAACAGCAATAGCAGCAGCAGCACCACCACCAACAACAAAACAAAAGGATAAATACACTCACCAGCAAGAAGCAAGGGCAGACAAGTAAGAAGGGTCTCTCTTTTTTTGGACCTCTTTATATCTGGTCCTTCACCGACAATGTGTCACACATTCTGGACAGTTCCATCTCCACTTAACTCCTTCCTGGAACAGCTCCCATATATCTGTACAAAGACATGCCTCTAGGTTGATTATAGATCCTGTTGTGTTGACATGCAAAATTATCCATTACTGAGGCCAAATATAGGACTATAACCATTATATCTGTTCTCTAAAGCTGCAGAATCTACCTTGAACTGACTTAGATTAACATTCTTTACAATCCCTATGACCAAGATAAAAACAGAAAAATTATCAGCTCAGGCTGATTATTTACTAATAAATGTACTTAAACTGAAAGACAAGTCTAAGATCAAGGTAAAAACTTGCTGATTCAGTCCCCAGGTGAAGGTTATCCTTCAAACTGCAGAGATGGCTACCTTTTCCCCATGTCTCAGGGGGAAGAATCAGAGTTTGAAACAAGGCCTCTGATAACTCTTCTCAAAGGGCACTATTGTAATCATGCTTGGATCATTACATTATAAATATAGTCAATAGTACATTCAAATGTTGCATTGAGAAAAACTAAGCAAATAGTCAAGCACTGGCCAAATAAAAACTTCATTCCAATATGCTGACATACAGGATTTTCTTAATACGGGATATATAAAAGTATTTTTTTCTGGATTTTTATTTGTTATAATTTATTCACTTTGTATCCCAGCTGTAGCCCCTCCCTCATCCCCTTCCAATCCAGCCCTTCCTCCCTGTTCTCCTCCCATTGCCCTCCACCAGCCCACTGATAGGGATGGTCCTCCTCCCCTTCCATCTGACCCTATCCTATCAGGTCTCATCAGGACTGGCTGCATTGTCTTCTTCTGTGGCCTGGTAAAGCTGTTTCCTCCTAAAGGGGAGGTGATCAAAGAACCAGCCACTGAGTTCATGTCAGTGACAGCCCCTGTTCACCTTACTAGGAAACCCACTTGAAGATTGATTTGCCATGGGCTACATCTGTGCAGGAGTTCTAGGTTATCTCCATGCATGGTCCTTGGTTGGAGTCTTAGTATCAGAAAAGATCCCTGTGCCCAGATTTTTGGTTCCATTGCTCTCCTTGTGGAACTCCTGTCCCCTCCATGTCTTTCATCCTGAGTGAGGTAATCCAGAAACAGAAAGACACACATGCTACATACTCACTTATAAGTGGATATTACACATACAATACAGGATGAACATACTAAAGAAGCTAAACAAGAAGGAGGACCCTGAATAAGATGTTCAATCATCATTCAGAAAAGCAAATGGGATAGGCATTGGAAGAGGGAGAAAACAGGGTACAGGACAGGAGCCACCACAGAGGGCCTCAGCAGGTTATCAAAGCAGATGGTGAGACTTAGGCCAAACTTTGGGCAGAGTGCAGGGAATCTTACAAAAGTATTTTGAAGCATTATAGTCTAAAAAGCACAATCAGATAATTTCTTCATCAATTAATTTGTTTACCAGCTTAGAAGACTGCAATTAAAAAAAAAAATTGGGGGGGGGGGTTTGGGGGAGAGGTGTTTCCAAGACATGTTTTTTTCTGGGCTCTCTTTGTAGACCAACCAGGCTGCCCTCCAACTCATAGCAGTCTGCCTGCCTCTGTCTCTCTGAGTCCTGGGATTAGAGGCATGTGTCATCAGGCCTGGCTAAGAGACTGCTCTTAAATACAAAAGCTAGGTTGTTGAATAACAATAGGCATGGGGCATAAGGGAAAGGTAACCAAGTAAGACCTTATGATGTTAAAGATTGTGTTTTTCAGGTGAGTAACAAGGGCAACTACTCTAAGTGACTTACTACCTGGGTTTTAATTCCACACCTCATTTAGGAGTCTTGTAGAAGTGATCTTTGATAATATTTAAACAAAAAGTTGAAGTAGTTCACCCGAATTCACCACAGCTTTTCACTTGAAATACAACGGTTCCATTTATTAGAGAAGGTTACTGTAGGTGAATCCTCCCTTTTTGCGCTCTTCCCCTGTAGGCAGGCCAGCCATCCCAGCACTATTGCCTTTTCTTATGTCTTTTTTATTAAACAGTTAAAGAGCCTAAGGCCTGTGCTGTCAGGAAAAGAATGACCTGTGTTCTTAGAGGCTTTCAACCAGGAAACAGACAGTGATGCTGCTCTTTGGAAACATTTGCTCATGAAACAAAGCTGTCTTACTTCTTTTCCTAACAGCTCTCATAGCTTATATATTTTCTTCTTTTACCCCTATTGCAACACCACATTTTTAACATAATTATTTGCTGTATTAGACTGGCAATATAAACTGCGATTGTCTCATCAGTTGTATCTGCTTGATAGGATATTTAACATTACTAAAGTACCGAGAAGTTGGGTGGGGTCTAAAGCAGAAAGCATAGAGGCCCGACCTCCTATCAACCAGGGCCAATGTTCTTTAGCAAAACATAATAGACAGTGAAATATTTAAGCTACTGTACAAGAAAAAGAGCACAACTTGAATCTTGAAAGTAGCAAAATATTATACTTTTATAAATGGGATAAAAGGAGCAAAGCTAATAAAGATAGTTGGTACCTAATTTATAATATGTAGGCAGTGATTTGTGCTACATTTTTATTATACTTTACTGTGAAGTATGCACTTATTCCAGACTCTTATGTCCAAACCCAAGACGGAATCATCTTTTCTATCACATTAGAATTCCCTGTTGCACTCTAAGGATATGCTAAGGAACAACATATTTTGGGCTCAGTAGTCTACAGGAGTCAGGTTCTATCTGCAAAGTATACTGCCTGCTTCTAATGCAAATCCAGTATGATACTTTTGTTAAACCTACTAAATTCCCGAGACATATTTGTTATTTCCTGAAATGACTGTTTGGAGCTTAAGTAAATTTGTGTTATTTTAGCATTTAAGTTGGAAAAATTAAAGGATAATAATTGCATAACTATTTGTTTTCCTAGCCACTTATTTGAACTCTAGTTCTCCTACACACTACCTGTCATTTCCTTGCACCGGCGGTTTGGGGGGATCTCATGGAACCTAAAAATCAAGCAGATCCTTGTTTGAAACACAGATTCTAGCTACCACAGAGATTCTGACTTCAGTATCTAATTCTTATTTTTCAACAATTCAGGGCCTTGGTAGGTCGAGATCCTTAGGAAAAGAAGTAAGGTGCTTCACCTAACGGCAGGTATCCAGTTGTTTCCAGACTGTTTGGAGCCTTCTGCATAAATACCTTGAATAAATAAGCCTTCTCATATATTCTAGTCGAATATATGAGTCATAAAGTTCGTACAGGCTGTTCAGAAAGGGATTTTCTTCCAGTATTTGGCGTGCTACCTGTTGGAGCACCTAAAGGCAGGTGCTCAGCCCAATAATGCTTTGTGTTTCTTAAGCACGGGCGTGGCTAAGCAGGTAGGTTTCAAGTACTGTAATTATCGAATCAACGTGCTCCGCAGCAGTCTCAGAAACTCATTTCATTACTTCAGGGGCTGCCTCCTAAGTCGCAAAGTCAGCCCCGGCGGAGAGCGGGACGAGGCGGGCGTGTTCCCGCAGCGGCCTGGCCCGCTGGGAAGCGGTGGCAGCAGCAGCCCGCGGAGGACAAGGCTCTGCCGGCGCGGACAGGGGCCGAGCGGAGCAGCGCTCCCCGGGGGCGTCGTGTGTGAGCCGCCCGGCGACCACAGGCCCGGGGGGGCCGCTCGGCCGAGGACACGCCTCGGCTCGAGCCGCCTCCCGGCCTCCCCTGGCCTTCCGCCAGGGCCGCCCGCCGCCCTTCCTCCTCTGCCCGCGCCCGAGCGCCCGGCCGGGCCCCGAGCCCGCCCGC